TATTTAAATATCATATACCGTCCCCTTCCCCAGTCATTTATATTGTGGTGTTTGGCACTTGGAAGTCCTGCCATTAGCCCAAATGAAGTACCATAAAATTAGTACCATAAAAAACGTTCATACATAAAATGCTGGCAAACATGTCAAATCCCATTCTCTATACAGCCAAACCAGCTGAACCAAACCATTCTGCCTTTTATACACGCATACAATCATGCCCACTCGTATACTGTAAGTGCATCAAACCTGCTGGCAAATTCAAAACGTGTTGTATAGTCCCTCACAGTGGGAAATTTTAATATCATTCCAAAAAAAGCAAAACCGGCTTTAAGCCACAGCTTAACACACACAGATGTTAACACTGGTCACCCCTCAAAAAACTCAAGTCTTCAGAAGTCTAAAACATCGTCATCATTCAATTCAACCTCAAGAGCCCAACCCCAGTCCTTCAGGCCCATTTCAAGCAATCTGCAACAAAGAGGAGTCTTTTGGCCTCATATACAAATGCCAATGACAAAGTCTAAAATAAAGGTTATAAAGTTTAGTTTAAAAGTACACTGGTATATATATATAGTGCTCAGCATATAGTGATATATAGTGCTCAGCATAAATGAGTACACAGATAAGCTCCAGATTTGGCTTCAGTACTGACTAAACTAATGTATATGCACAAGTATAATATTGAAAAGCATCCTATAGAAATTATTAATTTAAATGAGAGATTTGTGAGGGGTGTTCTCATATATATATATATATTGAGCACTGTATATTTAAAACTACACTTAGAAGATACGTGATGAAGACAAATTACACCAATAAGCTCCAGATTTGATTTCAGTATTGACTAAACTAATGTATATGCACATATATAATATTGGAAAGCATCCTATAGAAAATATTAATTTAAATGAGAGATTTGTGAGGGGTGTTCTCATATATATATATATATTGAGCACTGTATATTTAAAACTACACTTACACAAGATACGTGATGAGGACAAATGCTATCCTTTATTTACAGATAACTTTCTTTTTTATTTGATTTTATACCAGTAGATATTTGCTAGAGATTTTTGGAAAACTGCTGTTTATTTTTTTTAAGCTCTACATGATGTGATGGAGACACCCACTGCTCTTTATTTACAAAGATTTCAATTAAAATGTCACAAAAATGACCATGGCAGAGATGTCATGAAAAAAAAAACTTGGGGAAAAAACACAAAAGATACATTTTTCTTTTTTTGGCCACAAAATAAAAAAAGATTGGTAATGTTATCACTTTTTCAGCCTTTAAAAATATATAGAGATTTTTTGTGTTTTCTTGAACACTGAAAGATACATACAGAGTTTAAGTTAAATTTTAGACATTAAGACCACTATGAGTAACCCGTTTACTGGGTTGAAAATAGTATAAAATAAAATAAAATATTCACAGCTTAGATAGGATTAGATGGCAATATTATGGAATTAAAAGAGAGAGCCTGCATTGTTAGTGGAGTGTTTTTAGTACTGAGGATTCAGATGCAAACAGAGAAGAGAACAAGCAGCCAAACATGTTGAAGATGAGCAAAAAAGAGATGCTGTGCACGGTACTTACTGTCCACACATTTACACGAGTAGGGAAGGTGAAAGGTCAGTGAAGAATGATACGGAGCATTGGGCCAGGGCTACAAAAGGTTAGCGGTATCATTGTAAGCTATTGAGATCTTCACAGCCAAGTCTACATACATGACACTACACTATGTTTACCTCAATTAAAAGCAGTAGTTCACCCAAAAATGAAAATGCCAAATTGATTTGCTGACTTTCTTTATGTTTAGTGAGGTATTTGTTTTTCAAAGTGACCACAACTCCTTGCACAACATTACAGTGAGCAGTCTATACAAGTAAATTTTTGGATGAATTTTTCTTTTATTTTGAGATATGTATCTATATATGAGCAATTAATCAGAACAACAACAATAGCAGTGCAGTGATACACTTTTTAGTTTAAAGCTGAGCAGAACAGTTCAGACAGAAGTGTATGCAGGAAGGTAAAAAAGATTTATTTTTCAGAAAGTGACTTTACATGAATTGGCATGAATTAGGCATTTAATTTTTCATGGAAGAGCTTTGTCTAATAAAATAAAATAAAATAAAATAAAGTGTTTTAACTATTAGCACAAATGTATTATTACAGAATTAAGAAAATGAAACATGATTTTATTTATATTTGCTTGTAGTTTTTTAAAATTTTTTAGCATTAACAAAAATAGAATGTTATCAATTAATGATAATTATTTTTATATTTAACAAAACTAATGCTTATTTCAGTGGTTAATCAGAAGGTTTTTTGCATCATTTTTGCAATTGGTTAAAATGCTGAGTTATGCAAATTCTAACTAATAAAGCACGATAAACATTCAAATGTTTTGAACCGTTAAATTATAATTCTTTTTCATTACTATTGTAGAACTACAAATAAACATGTTTTGGAATGAAAATGAATATATTTGACACACAAAATGAGGTAATGGCTAAGAGCTGAATGGGAAATGATGAATAAATCAAGCTATTTCTCTTTTTTATCCAATAAAACATCAAGTGTTAGTAAAAGAAGATTTCAAACATTGCTTTAGATGAAGTCTTGTTACTCTATCCTACAATTCTACTATATTTCACTATAACCTAAAGGCCCCAGTATACATCAACATAAATTGATGTTGTCATTTTGAGCAAAAGTTTGCATCCGCTGGTAAACACCTTTAAACGGTCATTGCCTGGTCCCATTTTACGTAGGTGTGGCTTTAGAGCTTCGCCTTTTTTAACAGGTTAATCTTCTCCAGCGCATTTGTTCTGCTAAGTCTATTGAGGCCAATACAATCCAACACATTCAAAATAAAGGTTCTAAAAAGTTTTGCACTAAAAAGTAACCATTGTTGGTTCCCCAAAGAACCTTTTAATTCAAATAACGCTTTTTTCTCAGCGAGAATTCAAGATATTCAATGATATTTAAGATTATCAATGTATTTTTTCACTGTAATGAAACCTTTATGGAATGGATATTTAAAGTTGTTCATGGAACCATCTATGCCAATATAGAAGCTTTATTTTTAAGACTAAGAGCTGCTTTACAGTGGAAGGGTAATTTATTAAAGAGCCCATATATGGGTTTTTGAAAATTCCCCTCCATGTAGTGTGTAACACAGCTCTAAGTGAAGTGAAGTATCCAGCTAAGGCTTAAATCTGTAAGAATACAGTGTTTAAAACGGTTGATTCATCTATAAAAGAGTCGACTCATAGTGCTTCAAACGAGTCGCCTTGATACCGAGTCATTAGGTGTTTCGCCATGACGTACGAACGAAACCAAGTTATTCACGTGCAAGCGCAAACCCGAGAGATTTCAAACCTGAGGCCCCGCCCTCTGACGCAGAAACCCAGACACACACACACACACATACACACACACAAACAAACACACGCACACAAACATGCCGGTCGATTGAAGTCACACTGCAGATGGATATTATATTGAGTCTCTACCAAAAGATGAAACATCAGCATTATAACCAAGCAGTTGGAAACTACTGGAAACTTCTGGAAGCTACATGCTACAAAGAATACTTCATCTGAGTTTGTTAAAGGAAGGATCAGTAAAGAGTAACTTACTGATGGACGTCAGGATGGGTTTCTTCCTACCTTTCTCAAGTGTAAGTACGTGCGGTTAAAGTTGTTGCCTCGTTGACTCTAGCTTGCAAATGGATTTAGTTGTGATTTGTTAATTGTAACCGAGTGTACTGTATCAGGTTAACTAGCTATATTCTCTTATCGCGTGCAAATTCACGTTAAAAACGCGACGCGCGCTGCTTTGTTTATGGAGCTCCGTGGTAGAGTTCTGCATTCTGAATTTCCGAATAAATCGCGGGAGCGGTCGGTAACGGGTTTAATTTGGGACGGGAGCGGGCTGTCTAGCAATATCACGGATATTGCTATGCGAATGAGAAAGAGAGAGTCTGCTTGGTGCTTGTGTGTGTTAGTGCGCACGCGCNCGTATGAGAGAGAGAGAGAGAGAGAGAGAGAGAGAGAGAGAGAGAGCGAGCGAGCGAGCGAGAGTTTTGTGTGCTGGGTGTTGTGTGTGTGTTTATACAGACATCTTGGCTGTCTGGACTGTATAGCTGGGTGATTTTTGGTTGTGTTCTCCCCCGCTCTAGCGGGATCGGGCGCGGCGGGCAGAAAACGGAGCGGGTTCTCAGGCTAAAACCTGGCGGGTGCGGGCAGCAGCTAAAATCCACGCCTACACTATCGAGCGTGTATGAACTGTGATTACTTTTTATATTGCTGATTAGCTATTGGCCATTTTACTCTCTGACTGAAGGCAGTCGACTAATCGCGACAGACTGTCATCGGTCCAATCAGCGCAGATTAGCTTTGCGCTAAGGAGGGGTTTGGGAACAAATTAATCACTGGACGATTCATACGGGAGTCGCTGGGATATTTAGGTAAAAATAAATGCAGATTATAAGACCATGAAAGTGTTTTTTGACCTTGCATGCATATTAAACTGTTGTTGGAGACTCTTACAACCAAGACATGACCCTATTTCATGTATAATATGGGCTCTTTAAGAAAAGATTTTATCATGTTTGATACTTAAAAAGCTTAATACTTGGTGTATTTGATTAAACTGCTATAAACATGATGGGACTCCACATGACTGGATTGCTGAAAACTGCTGTTTTGTCACCAGTCATTTTTGTTTACGTTTATTTAGTTGTTACTGTAGGAAAAAATTGCACAGCACATATTTACATATTCATCTAAACATCACTGAGGCGTGTTGATGATGTCAAGATGTTCACAAACACTAAACCACCACTCTGGAATTTCAAACTTGTTTTTTCTTCCTAACGAAGAACAAAACATTCTTTATATCTGGGCATTAAAGGTATAGTTTCTTCAAAAATGTAAATTCTGTCAAAATCAGTTTTTAATCTCTATCAGTATCTTTCTTCTAATGAACACAAAAGAAGGTATTTTGAAGAATGTACCCAAAGTATTTGTTTTTCTCTACTGTGTCTGCCAATGGCTACCAATTTACAGCATTCTTCAAAATATCTTCTTTTGTGTTGAACAGAAGAGAGACACATGTTTGGAATAAGTTGAGGGTGAGTGAAAGCGTCTCCTCCTCACCTGTTCTTGCTGGAGGGCTGCTGTCGTGTAGAGTGCACTTTGACGGCTGCTCGGTGTGAAAGTCTGGGTGAAGACTGAGCGAG